CATTGTCTTCAAAGACAATAAAGAAGTTATGATCAAAATAACATTCACAAAAACATTGACCGGGGATGTTTAGAAAGAGTTTTGTTTTCTCGGTCTCAATTTGTCAGTTATTTTGGCTCTCCTGTTAAAAAAAAAAAACACCAAAAAACTGGCATACTGTGTTTTTCAAAATAACCGTCAGATTTGTCAGTGTAACCCAAATGTACCAACAAGGATCAATAAAGTGTAATTTATTATTTACCAGTTGTCCAATTAGTTTCCTCAACGGCGTGTGACCAGGTGCAAAAACATGACGTCACCTCAGGTAATCAGCTGTAGGTTATCGCGAACTAAGAACACCGTGAAGTAATCAAGTGTGGGCGTCTCCAAACAAAACAGTTCTTAAAGGAGAGACGCCGTGAAGTAATCAAGTGTGGGCGTCTCCAAACAAAACAGTTCTTAAAGGAGAGACGCCGTGAAGTAATCAAGTGTGGGCGTCTCCAAACAAAACAGTTATTAAAGGAGAGACGCCGGGCGGGAACCTCTTTTCTCAAACACTCAACAATGTTCGTTTGTTTGGTCACTGCTACTTCAGCGTCTGTTCTTGTATGACAGATACAACTTATATGACCTTTGACCTACAGAACGTATATGACAGATAGGACTTATATGACCTTTGACCTACAGAACTTATATGACAGGTACAACTTATATGACAGATACAACTTATAAGACCTACATAACATACAATATGACCTGTCTGTGTTACAAGAGCCATGAAACTCTTACTAAAACTACAACAAATTAACCCAACAAGTTCCGTTTGTTTGTTGGCAGGTATTCCAGCCTCTGCCATCCGATCCTATGACCTACATAGCATATTGTATGACCTATAGAACACGACATACTATTGAACTTGACCGACCAACTATACACCTTGTGTGACTTATTTGTGTTGTAAATGTCCCACACCTGGGGATACAACAGTATGCTAATTACTCACCTAGCCTCGTTTGTCTGTCTCCAGATACTTCAGTATCTGCCATCAGTTCTAACATGACCTATCTGTGTTGCTAGCACCGTAAAACTCATACAAAAACTGCCACAAAAGTACTCACCCGCCCCGTTTGTCTATCGCCAGGTACTTCAGCATCTGTCACCCATTCCTGCACGTGGTCACCCCCAGGAGAGCGCGGGTGTCCATCTTGTGTCTGTGTATGTTCGCCTTCTCTCTCGGTGAGTCCATCTTGTGTCTGTGTCTGTCTGTGTCTGTCTGTGTCTGTCTGTGTTTGTCTGTGTCTGTCTGTGTCTGTCTGTGTCTGTCTATGTCTGTCTGTGTCTGTGTCTGTCTGTGTCTG